CTGGCAACTGGTTTCAATGCCCACAGTTCTGGGGATTTTGTTTTCTGCATTGCTTTCCACTTGAAGAATAATTTTTCTCTCATGACATTGCAGATATTTATGATTGTAGCTTACATGCTTTAAGGGTTTGTAGTTTCTTTCATTAAGCTTATAAGATTATAAAGACCAAGGGATTTCATATTCTTCACAGTTGAATTTGACTACTCTATCTAAAACATTTGTCCATGAATTTTAACTTCATTTTAGCACCTTTACACCTCCCTAACATTTCCTCTACAAAAGGAAAGCAAATTATAAGGTTTCCCATTGTTGTTTTCTTCCCTAGCTGCATTCACTTTAGTTTGTGTCTGATAAGGAGGATGTGGCCCCTCACTCCCTGACCTTACCTCCTCAGGAGCAGTGCCCACACAGGCTGGTGATGGGGAATGAATCTGTAGGCAGGCACCCAGCTGGATCACAGATGCTTGTGATTTTTGCGGTAAGCCACAAAAAAAGTTCAGTTCCCTTTAAACCAGGCTGCTTTTCCATGGATTTGAGCCTGTGGATTGAGGATGCAGCTTCTGGATATTGATAATGCCATAAATGTGTTGATGGATATAAGATCCCAGTGAAAAGGCAGCTGTGGGGATAGTGGACCCTGCCTGGAACTTGTTCTCTGACTCCTCTTCTCTTGCCCCTGGCAGAGGGGTGCATGGGGAGTTGCCCTGGCTGCTGGGATGGACAGCCTTCACATACCCCGCAGTGCCCCTCACAAGGGAGTTGAAGGTCTGAGCACTGCTTGAGAGGCAAGATTTGGAAATCAGATGATCATTCTGAGATGTATCCCTGTTTACACTCCAGTAGCCTGTGACGTCAAAGAGCGTCATTGGTGAGTCACCTATCCGCATGTCTGACTCGTCCTGGCTGCTCTAAATATAAATGTCAAAAGATGGTTAGGCTGTAGGAGTAAATTGGTCTGTGTTGCCATGTGCATTTCAGGCTGGTCTTCGTCTTCTGCATTTCACTTTTTCTCCATTATAAGGGCTGATTTGGTCAATGGGAAACAAAGGCAGCAGCTCCAGCTCTCAGACCATGTTTCCATGCACACATCTGATACATCACATCTTTTTGTGCTGGCTCTGTCAGGGCTGAATCTGAGAAGAGGGAGAAAATGGGTTGCTTTGACAGTGTTTCTGAAGTAGACACCCTGAGAGACTGAAGCATTTTCACACTTTTTTTTTTTTTTTTTGTACATGCAGAATGTACAATACTTAAACAAGCCTCCAAGAGAAAGTTCCTTTGCTAAAGCTGCTAGCCACTGCTAGTGGACCGCAGTCATGGAGATGCTTGTGTGATTTATGCTGCTCTAGCAGAAATGCTGTGTCACAGCCTAAACCAGTGATTGAGCACCTGGTGGGAAGGCAGGACCAACCCAGGGGAGCTCAGGTGCATGCAAGGTGCCTGTGGGACCAGAAGAGGTAGAGCCAGGATCTGCTCCTTCCCAGACATCATTTAAGCGCTTGCTGCATTTGGGCTTGTCCTTATTTGCTACAGCTGAAGACTTTGCTACCCCAGTATTAGCACTGTACTTTCCATCACGTTATGGTGTTACAGTTGTTTTAGGCTCTCAAGGTTGAAGTTTCAATAATAAACACAACTGGTTTCTCTGTTGAAAGCTGGGAGAAGCAGGTAAGGAAGGTGTCATGTCTTTCATCTTACTAAGCATTTGGGTTTTTTTGTATGTGTATGTTTCTTTTTAGTGAAATGTGTGTTTTTTGTAAAGTAAACAAAATGTTGATGAAGAATGCCACAAGAAAAACATCAGGACCCTGAAATTGCCTCTGCTTTGGCTACTGGGATTTTTTTTTATTTGTTGCCTTTAACTGCTTATGCAGAAGTGGTAATGAATTTAAGAATGAGCTCTGTGTGTGGAAAGTAAGTAGATCTTTATAAAAAGCATGTCTAAAAACCTATGGAAGGTAAATCGAAGTAGATAGCCCTGCTTCACTTTACTGTACCCCTGCTGAGTGCTGTAATAGGGCTAATTCTGTGTTACCTTATAGAGAGTAATTCAAAGATCAACGAAGGTTGTCCTTTCTGTATTTCTGTGAGAATTTCCTTAAACATTAAAGAAAATTCTTTGAAAGTATTAAATTTTATATATCTATATCAGTTTCCTCATTAGTATCAGAAAGCTCTATAACAGTGAATAAGAATAAGAAATCAGAATAAGAAAGTGACAACAGTACATCTGGGCTGCAAACACCTTGTTGGAGGCACTGCAGTGTTTAGAGTAATCTCACTTCCACTTCACATTACAGATGCCAGAATGGCTCGTGCTGCTGTATGTGAGACTCATCACGAGGCCTTGGGCTGTTATTTTTACATGTTATGTCATTTCTTCTCTTTTCAGTGTTCTTAAATCACTTTTTTCTGCCTCTTTCTTCTCAATTTTGCTTCTTTTCCTTCTCTTCTTTCCTGTTGCCTCTAACAGGCAGCAAATCTAATGAAGGGCGTAAGCCTCTGGACAGTGTATAAATATGCAAACCTTCTATAAAAAATAAAATCTCTGATTTACACAATGCAGAGGGTCAGTCAAAAACTGTAGGCTGTGTTCCAGCTGAAGGTAGTACCTGCCCCTGCTTTAGAATTTTTATGAGACAGTGACTGAAGTGCTTTGTGCAGCGTTGGCAGCCTGAGTCTATTAGCATGCATTTAGGTGAGGGGTGCCACCTGCGTTTTCAGCCTTTCCGTTTTCATAGGAATGTCCAGATGGAGCAGGGCATCTTACAGCTCGTCTAGAAAATTCCTCTGCTTCCCTTCTGGGGGAACAAGCTGGCAACTTTCTACAGCAAGACATGAAGTTGTATTCAGTATAGAAAGTACTTAGTCCCTGAAGTCTGAAAATGTAGGAAGGTGGGAGACAACTGTGAGAAACAGACATGTCAGAAAAATGTGGAGGATTTGGCAGCCTTGTCTTTATGTCTGCTGTGTTACCCTGAAGAACAGTGTTGACTACAAACACATGAACATGCTAGCATTGAATTTAATGGATGTGAGTCTGCCAGAGTTTCTTGGGGTTTGGATTTTTTCTAAGCTTCAAGGTTGTTGTTATTGTTCTGCTTTACTTAGTGTCTCTACAGATAGCAGTAATGAAAAGTTGCAGTGCTGTTGAATGAACCCAATATTCTGTCTTTAAAAAGCCTCATTTGGTATGAGCTCTCTTTGACTGAAAGCGCATCAGATATAATTGACTGCTGTGAGATTGCTGTTGCTTTGTATCTCCAGTCTAGGAACCAGTCTGTAGTTATGAACCTCTCATGAATGTTTATAACAAAATTATTGCTAGGAGGCTGGGTAATATCAATCTAATTCTTTTTAACAGATTAATAAGAGTACATACTTCTGCAATTCCTTCATAACTGTATCACTTGGACTAACCAGTCCTTTATCCACTATTATGCTGCAGAGTGTGGAAAATTCTAAGACCTTTGGCTGACAGAAGTAGGAGTTATCAAAAGTCATTAGGAGTCATCAAAAATAAAAATAAAATGCATTCGAAGTCAAACTAATCCTCATTCAGTATTGTTCTTCTCTCTGTAGGAAATAAGTGTTGCCTCACTCCTTGTCTGAAACAGCTTCCAGCTGCTCTCTGCATCACATAATGCAAGCAGTCACACCTCATGTGTAGTACTGCCAGCACCAAGCTGTGTGCAGTGGGAATGCTGTTTGCAGTCACTGCAGACAATGCTGAACTCATTAAGAAGCTAGTAAAGTGACCTAAAATTAATCTGTTCTAATTAGTGTAATCTGGCTGTTGACCTCATTCAGCTGACTGAACTCACAAGAAATAATGTCAGTAATAAGGACTAAAATGAAATATCACTTAGTGTGAATTATTATGGTGTATCTTGCGAGGAAGGAAGAAGTCCAGTACAGTTATGAAGACCACAGTGTTCCTCTTTTCTGTGTCAGAAGGGACGTGAGATCTTGTTGCTTGCCATCACCTTTCCTGGGATATTGATAAAATAGTTGGCTTTCTTGAAAGTTTGTGTGTGTCTTTCCTTTAGGGATTCAGAAAGAGCCAGCACCTCCTGATGCAAAGCCATATTCCACTGATATTATTGTATATAATTATAGCTTTTGTAGAAAAGAATCTGCTCCTAAATATAGCCACCCAGTCAGGCCACCATTAGAGCTGTATGTTAATGGTGTTTTACTCTGCGTAATATAGTGATGTGTGGGAAAAAATCCCAGACTGAGTTCATTTCTGACATCCAGTGGTTGATTTGCAATGAATTGTAGTACCAGAGTTCAAATGCTTGCTGATTATTGCTGAGTCGGGCTACTGTCAGGCATTTTAAAAAATAGGGCTTGCAGTTAAACCAGTATCACTGAAGTTCCTCACTGCAGAGCCCTGCGTGACCTTTCAGCACATTCACTGGAGTTCCCACAATGGCAATTGTAAGCAAGGCATGACATAGCATCATTGCAGCTTAATGGGGCTATTGACTTCTTGCATCTGGCCCTGGTGGGAGAACCATCCTGCCTGGAAATGTTCAAGATCTTTAAGCATTTCGTAGTAAGAAACAGTGGGAAACAAAATTGCTAAGTACCAGGAAATAGGATATGAAAATAACAAACAAGTCACAAAGCCTCATGAAGCACTCACCTCGTGCTGGTAGAAGGTAGAGGTCTGCATGAGCTCTCTAGTGTCTGTTCTGATCTTCACAGAAGATCTGTCTTTGTAAACCGAGAAAGACAGCTAAATGTGGTTGTCCTTTTGGGCAGAACTACCCCAGGATCAATTTTGCTTGAAGTAATACCTGGACCTATGTGCCGTTGTGTAGATTCGTACAGGAACAGAAATCTCCACTAGGCTGTGGCAATGTCTTCTGCAGAGTTTCCTTTCAAGGAAACATATAAGTACTTGGTACTTATGTCCAGCTGTGACTCTGCTATCTATCTGATACTAATTCAGTTCTTAACAGGTGTTTTTTTTGTTTGTTTTTGTTTTGCAGGAAGAAATCTTTTCTATTTTCAGCACTGTACGCTGCCTTCATATTTGGTGGTCGGCACCTTATGAATAAACGAGCAAAATTTGAACTGAGGAAACCACTAGTGCTCTGGTCCCTGAGCCTTGCTGTCTTCAGGTAGGCATTCCTTCTCATCAACTGCTGTCAACAGTAGTCTCTGAAAAGGGTTTTGGTTTTGTGAAGTTTAACGGCAGTGCTAGTATGGCAACAAACTTGCCCAGAAGTGGCCTTTCTTTAGTGCTGCTCCCCAAGGTTATGTCCTGATCCAGTCCTCACAATTTAAATGGTCCCCTTTGACTTGCCAGATCATACAGCATTCAGAGAGGGGAGAAATCAGCACTATTCTTGGAGAGCAAAGGTGAAAAAGAAAGGGAGGACGGGAGAAAAAGCATGAGTCATTGAATCATTTGCAATAAATTTACCATGCAAACTACAAATGGAAATAAATGAATTAAGACGCCAGTCTTGTTCTGATTTGCTAGTTGGCATTACATTTATATGGCTGCATATATGGAATATTTAATTGAGGTTCTGACCTCTATTACAGTGAGATAAACCTGGGCCACTGTGACTGAGATCGGAATTTGGTTTCTGGTTATTCCATCAGAAGTGAAGAGCTTACAAATACAGCAAATGGGTGGCTCCACAGCAAAAAGGCTCTGTTTTAGTGATGGACTGCTCTAGATGTGTGTTTCTTGTATATCACTGAGTATGGGGAAATCAGGTTCGCATTCTTGATAATTTACTCTACATAGTATAGAAAAATTTGTAAACAAATATCTAACACTGATACCAGTGTCTTTTTCTAGTATCAGTATAATAATTACTGATTTGAATAGTTCACAAGTACAGAAAGCATGTTTGTGTACTGAGCAGCCATGAGGGTTGAATTATTTTTCACAAGATGGGAGTATTTTAGGCTGAGAGTTTCTAAAGATTAAATCAAAGCAGAAATAGAGAAGTCTGATTATTTTGCCTTCTTATGTTTATTTCCTTTCTTCTCAGAATCCACACTGGCATTTCCTAAAACTCTGGCGAGGAAAAATAAATTACATTTTTCACTTATTTCATTCAGCTGGAATGTGCTACCTGTAGAACTTCAAACTACGTTTGCTTGATTTTAATCATTTAAAGATTCCTAAAATAATAATAATAATAAGATAAAAAGCTTTGAGCGTTCTGGGGTAACTTTGAGAGCAATTTCTAACACTGAAAATTTACCTTTTTTGTTTTATGGCATTTGGTGCTGTGCTTCCGTCTGTGTGTCTAACATTTTGTTGTTACTGTACACAATTGTCATCTCTTGGTGAGGTTCAGCAACTGCTGAATTGCTTTTTAGGTGACACGTCATTTGTGAATCAGTTTGTAAAGTGATCTTTAGCCAGTTGGATCCCTAAGTATATATTCCAATTATACTTTGTTATTGAGCATAGCCAGTAGAAAGAAGCTGACGTATGCAGAGAGGTTGTAGTTTATTTCCTGACCTGCAGGCAGGACACACAACTTCATAACTGTGCTTCAAAGAGGGTCACTGGCATGATTTTTAAAATCACGTTGTTTTGGGGTTGACTCTGTGGCTGACATGCACAGTATGGGGCTTGTAAGCAATTTCACTGATTAGTTAGTTCTCAAAAACAAAGCAATGCGGTAATCAACAAATAGCAGTGTGCGCCATGGTGTGAAAGTGCTGTGTAGGTGGACTGAGAACATTCAGACTTTGAAATCAACATGTTCATTACTTGATAGCTGGAGTTTTCCATCGTAACCATATGAAATAGCTAATGCACAGTCTGTAGTAGCTGATGGGGAAGTCTGCGTGAAATCTAAAATGTGGCTTTCACCTTTGTGAAACGTCATGTTGCCAGAATGAACACTCCAGAGTCACTCCCAACTTTATTGACTCTGTAGCCAGCTGTACTAGACTTTGCCATAAACTTTACAAGGAACTTGAGTTTTACTTTCCAAGAGACGTTTTTTCTGGCTCCTTTCATGACGAGGTGTTTCATTTGCACATGCTTGATCTGAAAGATATTTCTGCTTCCTCTGAAGGTGAACTTGGATAGATTTAGATGCTGTTGTTTTACTTATTACAGATCCAGGAAAATACTCTTCAATTTTAAAAAGTCTTCCTCGTTAGCTTTATGGGCTGTTGAAATACTATGATTTTTACAATACCTTTAGGAAATGCTAAGTAATGTACTTCTGTTGTGAGCAGTTATAGTGAGGAAGAAAAGCCTGCCTAGAGAGCCCTCAGTATTTTCCTCAGCCTCAAGGTCAGAGCAAGGCTTTTTTCCAGAGTCCTTGTTTATCTCTCTGCTAGCACTCCTACCATTTTTACCTACTTCAAATATCCTCAGAAATAGTAACACTTAGCAGAGGCTGGAAAAATTGTGTTCTGGACTTAAACAAACAAACAAACAAACAAAAAAAAGCCCATGAAATTGCTTGCCAGGCAATGACATGGCCTTCCTTCACAATGTATCCTGAGTGCCTTGCTCTTGCCAAGATCCTTTAAATGTGGTAGCAGCTACTGTAGGAAACCTGCTACGCCTATAAATAAACAAAACAAGCTACAACACCCTGCTGAGCTTGCTAAGCATTCGGGGAGTTTGGTAAGACTAAGTTTTGTGTCAACACTGGCAGCCAGCAGGATCTGAGAGACAGAAAAGCTGCTTTATTTCCCTTTGGAAGCATCAACTAGTTTCGAACATTTTGTCTCTGGGATAAAGTTACTGCTTCTATGTGAATACCTCTGTGAAGGCAGTGACAATAAATCTTGCTTTTCACTTTGAAACCACTGTGAAAACATGATCTTCTGAAGTCTTTTGCTGATGAATTAGTTTGGGATGTTTTTCTTAGGTTCTTTTCCTTTTCCTTCTGGTAGATTTGTTGATCTGTTTCAAGCACTGAAGACATTGTTTTGTGGCATGACATGATTTCAGTCTTTTTTTTTTTTTTTTCTTCCATTTTATGCGCTTCATCCACAGCCAGTTGTTGTGCACTGAGGTCTTGTGGGAGCAGCTCCGTGGTGTTCTTTGTCAACGGGATCCCACTGTTTGTTTTTCAAATTTATAAGACCCCGAAGAAACTGTTGCTGATTCACCTGCATGTCAAAATGACAGCCATGTATTTAAGAAAATTTCCAAGAGTGAAAAATCTAAAAAAACACGAGTTTGAATTGCTAGTCCTATGTTTGTGCTCCTTTGAACGAGAAGTTAGGATCATTCATTGACACCAAAGTATTTTTTTAGTTAGTGTATATCAAAAATACTATGTTGGCATCTTAAAAATCAGCAAAGCTGGGACCAAGGGTCTCACAGAAGGATGTGTAATCATTAATTTATGGTTTCATTACATCTCAGCTGGATTTTTGTTCTTCTTTTTATGGGCCTTAGAGTGTGTGTGTGGGTAGCAAGGAGCTCACACAAGGGTTTGATTGCCTTACCTTCGCAGAAGACAGTGGCATGGCACTGTTTTCAGTCACTCTCCATCCTTAAAGGGCTCCCAGCAGAAGAATCAGTGTCAGGATGCTGACTAATGATAGCAAAATGTTTTCCTTAAGGAACACAATCCCATCAATAGAAGAGAGAAGGAAACTAAAACATCCATTGTGGTGCAGTTGTATGCAAGGAGGAAGAGAGAAGCTAAGTCTGATTGTGACTGGAGGCATGATTTGTCTTTGTTTGGCCAGACTACTCATTTGTAAAGTTGCTATCGTTATTTGAGGATGTGCAGATTCTAATACAGCTTCAGCTGTGCTTTGTAGCAGAGGCTGATGTCAGTATAGGGTATCCGTATGTCATTCTTCCTGGGAAATACTTTCTCTTCAAGAGGCTGAAATGGTGCGAATGGCCACTAGCTGTCTTCCACAAAGCCTCAGAAATGAAATATTCCAGTAGCAACTTATTTTGTATTTGAAAGACACAGCCAAAGTATCTCACTGGAAGAAGGTTACTCACTTTTCTTTTGTGAGACTGCTGTAATGGATTTGTTTCCACAAACACAGCAGCATTTTGTAGAATCATAGGATCACTCAGGTTGGAAAAGACTTTAAAGATCATCAAGTCCAACCATGACCTAACCATACCACCCTAACTAACATCCCTCTGCTAAATCATGTCCCTGAGCACCACATCCAAATGGTTTTTAAACACATCCAGGGATGGTGATGCAACCACCTCCCGGGGAGCCTATTCCAATGCTTAACAACCCTTTCTGTAAAGAAGCATTTCCTGATATCCAACCTAAACTTACCCTGGCACAACTTGAGGCCATTTCCCCTCATCCTGTCACCAGTGAGAAAGGACCAATCCTGCTCTCCCTGTAAGCACCTTTCAGGTATTGAAAGAGAGCAATAAGGTCTCCCTTCAGCCTCCTTTTCCCTGGAGTAAACAGCTCCAGTTCCTTCAGTCAGAAAGAAAGGTATGCACTGATTCTGCAGATTGCTCCCAACAGGATAATCCAAAATAAATCATTATATCTGCAGCTCAGTCCTGAGATGAGCTGAACTGAAAGGACTGAACATAACTTTAAAAACAGGAGTCCAATTGCTTGTATTTGGGACTCTGAAATACCTTCTAGTTATCATGCCTATGCATAAGACAGTTGATGAAAACTCACTGAAATTTCATCCAGTCCCAAGGTCTGCCATTCACCACAGAAATTAAAACACAACTTTATTTCATATGTTGCTGAACTGCCCATTAAAATCTTAAAATACTCTGAAATTGTGTATAGATTCTGAAAATGCATTTAAAGAGAACATAAATTAATGAAAAGAGCAATATTTGCCAAATAGCATTAAAGTTAATAAGTAGCATTTAAGGTGAATTAATTATCTTCTCTTTTAAACTTGAAAGCAAGGGAATTATATTTGAGAAGCACTGATATTCTCAACATGAGATTGTTCAGAACCCAAATATCTACTTAAAGATTTATTTCAATTGAGCCATGCTCATCTATATAGACTTAACTGGTTTTCTTGTTTAAAAGACATTGGGAACATCTTTTGGTTACCGTTTTGGAACCAAAGTTGAAAGCTGGATGAAAAGCAGGAGTTCAGAATGGTTGGAAAGAAGGCAAATCCTTGAGACTTAATAGTTGTAATCCCAAGAGTG